TGTGTTTTGGGTCTTTACCTATCTTACTTCATATCAATGTGCTGTGTTTGAGTGGAGAGTTTCTATCTTGTCTTCTTTTCCATCTGAGACCCTGTTGTCCTGGTAATTGTTGCTGGAATGTTGGCTTCTAGATGGAGATGGGATATATGTTTGTCTCTTGTTCGTTCTTGGTGGAGGTTGATCCTCTGGCCATAGTGAGTCAGCCAGTATCTTACGCAGGGTCGGGTGTCTTGCAGCATATTCTTTGAGTCTTTCCTTGTCCTGGAAGACCCTTATCTCACCATCTATCTTAATGGATAACTTGGCAGGTTACAGGATTCTGGGGGAGGCATTTTTTTCCTTCAGCTTTTGGAAGATGTTGCTCCATTCTCTCCTCCTCTTCATAGTATCTGCTGATAGGTCTGAGCATATTCTTACCTGCGCTACTTTGTATGTGATGTCTTCCTTTCTCTTGATGCTCGTAAAATTTTCTCTTTTTCCTCAAATTGGATATTTTTACAATGATATATTTTGGCATGTTCTTCTTGGAGTCTAGTCCAGCTGGTGTCCTTTCTGCTTCCTGTATGAGTGCCTGTTTCTCCCTTGTTAGGGTGGGAAAGTTTTCTTCCAGAAATTCCTTTGCTATCTTGGCTGTCGACTGGTGTGTGTGTGTTGAGCTCCGGTAAACTGATTATTGGAATATTAATCATCTTCATAGCATCTGTCATTGATCTCAGGCTATCTTCTGTTTCTTTAATTTTCCTATCTGACTGTCTTTCTCGCTTGCTTAGGTCTGTTTGAGTGTCCTCGAGATCATTGATATGGTTCTCTGCCTCCTCAAGCTTAATCATAAATTCTGTGATCTTGTGTGTGACTTCTGCTACCTCCTCTGTTAGCTCCTACAGTTCCTTTTGGTGGGTGTGCTTCATACTCTCTATTGTGGACTTCATACCATCTATTGTGGACTTCATCTCCTCTCTTATTGCATCCTTGTTCTGGGTTGCTTCCCTCAGCTCCTGTATTACTGCGAGCAGACTTCTGAAGATTTCCTTCTGTGGAAGATCTGTAGCTGTTTCTTGTATGAGAGACGTTAACACTGCTACTATGTTTCGTCTCTCTGTTTTGTTTTTTTTTGGTTGGGAGTGATATGATCTGTTCATTTTTCCTCGATCCTTTCATAGGCCCCATGTTTCTGGGAGGCCAGGGGGTCCTTATCTGTGTTACTATTCAGGATTCTTTCAGTCAGCTGCCTATGACCTACTCTAAGGATGGGTCAGACTGCTGTGTAGGCAGAGTTCCCCGAAGGCTTAGTGACCAGCAGTGTTGAGATGTTTCAGCAACTGGAGTGGGGGCTGGAGCCTCAGTGAGTGCCCCCAGGCTGCTTTGACCTGGTCTGTCAGGGTATCCACAGCAGCCCTTTTTTGTTGTTTAGTAATAAAAAAGAAAAAGTTAAAAAGTTAAAGATTAAAAAAATTTTTGGAGGAAAAATAAAAAAATGGAGAGAGAGAATGAAGGAGAAGATATAAAAGAGGGGTGAAAAGAAGTGATAATAGTGAAAGTGGGAAAAGAAAAAAGAGATAGAAGGAAAACCTATAGTAAAGGGGGAGAAGAGAAGTAATAGCAGTGATGAAACGGGCGGAAGAAAGAAGAGAGAAAAGAAAACACAGAAAATAAAAGAAAAAAAGGACAAAACCAGCAAGAAATAAAAGATATATATGTGTATATATTTAGATCTCCCCCTCCTTCTTTTCCCTCCAAGTTCTAGTGATCCCTAATAGAAGGTGGAGGTGGGCAAGACCTCGCTGCCAAGGGACGTGGTGCTGATCTGGGCTCCAAAGCCGGGATATGTGAGGGGAAAATGTGCTTCAGATCAGCAAGCCCTCCTAGGTCCCTGCAGGCCTGAAGAGTTGAGCCTGTGGGCAGAGGCTACGCAGGCGGGGGAAGCCCCACAGTGGCGAGTCTCCTGCACCAGTCAGAAAAGACTGGGGCTGCAAGGGGTGCTGAGGGAGGCACAGGCTGCAGCACCTGCCTCCTATGCCGGCTGTTAGAGGGCTGGGACAGGCTTAGAAGCTGGCACTGGGTACCCCGCAGGGCACTGCAGTGGTGAGAACCGGTCAGAGCACACAGACGGCTCCAGTGGGGACAGCAAAGTGGTGTCCCAGGCTCCCTAGAAGGCCGGCGTTTATCGCTTGAGCTGCCAGCCCTGTGAATGGCGCAGGCTCCTCAGCGATATGGTCTGAGCCAGATTGTACAGCAGCAGCTCTGGCGGGAAGCAGCTGGCAATGGCAACTGCCTTCCGCCCTGAGGGGAGCATGCCACGCAGCAGGCTCAGAGCTCAGAGCCGATGGGCGCTGGAAACCCCTCAGCACACTGGGGAGGGCAAAGCCAGCCACTCTGGCAAGAGTGCAAAACCCTGTCGCTCAGTGCTCCCAGTAGGCAGGAGCAGCCACTGTTCAACGGCAGGCGGGTTTAGCGCTCCGGGCACAGGCCAGCCTTCAGGGGCTCCGGCGGAGATGCAACGTAGGGGATAGACGTGGGTTAGGCTCTGGCTGCAGGCCCATGCAGGTGGGAAGTGCGTGGCTCCGCTTCCCGGGCCAGGAGTGGAGCAGGAGCTAGCCTGGCGGGTGCAGGCACCGGGCAAACGGGGTGCAGGTGGAGAGGTCCCAGCCAGCAATGGGGGTGGATGGTGCCCCGTGGGGGTCGCCCAGGCAGCCCCTGGTAGATTGCAGGTCAGTTACCTGGGGCTTGGATGAATAGAGGGAGGGACGTGGGCCCAGGGGCAGATTGCTGCCATGTGGGGGGAGGGGAACCGCGGGAAAGGGAAGCTTCTCTCCTAGTGGGGTCCTGCCAGTGGGCAGCCGCTGTAGGGGGTTCTGCCACTGCTGCGAGTGCAACGCAGAGCAGGCAAACGACTCTGGGGGCGGGCTCCGGTCTGGGGATGGAGTGGGGCTATAGCTAGTCTCAGCTCCAGTGGCGGGAGCTTTGTGACCCGAGATGTCCCACAATTCGGGTCCTGGATCACCGAGGCCTCAGCTCAGGACAAATGTGTGGGGCAGGGGTGGGGTGCTGGCCCAGGGGGATATTTCACTCACCAGACTCCTACCACTAGGCTACGTGGATACCAAACCACCTTGTTTGAAAGAACTCTCAGAGTATGCGGGTCCCCTGATCTGCCATCTTCCAAAAGCGTTTTTATAAGGTAGCAAAAGATGCTTTTACAAGGTAGAAGAAAAAAAACCCCTGAGTAATAAGTATATCCTTTGCAAAGGTTCACCACATATAATTAGACCCTGAGTAAATAATTAGTTAATGCACTAGACCAGAGATTTTCAATAGGAATTCATAACCCCATATGGGGGTCACATAACTAACTGTAGGGGTGGTGAAAAAATTGGTGACAGCTGAATGCATAATGACCAAAGAACCATGAAAGCTCAAACAGAGAAGGAATCCTCGGTGTCTCTGGCAGCAGCACTTGCCCGTGTTGCATTGCACCACTTCACTGCTACCTGGGTTCTAAACTGCCAACGTGCACTTAGAGTCACCATGACACCTGTCTCTAGCCAGAGCCTCTGTGCTAAACTCTCAGCTTTCTGTTTCACTTATTAATTTTTATTTCCACTCGAATGCTTCAATTGCTAGCAAGTCAATCCTGACATGCTTTTTCCCTTTTACACTTTTTCCCACTTATGATTTCTTTTCACCTAAGAAAGTTTTATGGGCTCCCACGGGTATGAGTGTATAAAATAAGTATACAAGTAAAACACAGCTTTTAATGAAATATCTCACTCTGGCAATATTTGGGGGGCTATGAGGCCATGTTGTGTGTTCAGAACCAAGGCTTCAGTGAAGTTGCATGATGCAATGTGGGCAAGCACTGCCAGAAACACCACACATTCATGAAACATTTGGTTTTGAATGACTTTTGGTCTCTGTATCCTCAGAAATATTTTACTGTTGCCAAACTTTTTGCATCCCCCCACCCCCGCCATCTTCAGTTATTCGGCCCCTGTGGAGCTGTGACCAACCTATGACTAGGCTACTACTTCAAAGGTGTGAGGTTTGAGTTGCCCAGAGACCCCTGGGAAGAAAGGACTGAAGATCTATTACTGGAAAATGTCAGTCATGGAAAACCCTGGAGCACACAGTTCTACTCTGATCTACAAAAGGGCTTCATGAGTTTTGGTTTGACTTCATGGCAACTAGTATGGTCATTGCTTAATCTTCACAGACCTGGAATCTCCAAAATGAAGACCTGCTGTCACCTCTTTTCAAGCTTGCTTGTACTGCCTACATTGCTCATGCGGTGCCTGTTAGAAATCTGGGGCTCCTCTGAGCAAACAAACAAACAACACTTTGTCAGCCAGTGGGTTCCCCCTCATGGTGATGCCACCTCTTTCACTGCACTCCATAGGGTTTTCAATGACTGTATTTGTATGGAAGTAGCTATCCGGACCTTTATTCCACCTCACTGCTGGGTGGAATAAAAGAAATAAATATAAGTGACCCTGGGACTTCAGTAGGGGGAACTATTTCTCTGGATCATGTGAGCATTTTGCGTTATTCATTATACAAGCCAGCATGCAAAAGTTCCTATTTCTGAGATGACTCATTTTAAGCCTAATGATAAAACGGACCAGCCCCTCCTTAGAGTCCCATATACCTTATTTGCATGTTACCACTCAGTCATGGGAGTTACAAAGACTAGCTCAAAGAGCAGATTCATCGAGTCACTGTTTCATAGCTCTCTTTCCACCTCAACCTCTTTATACTTCGTGATTGATCAAGCCCTGCTCCTTTGAATATCAAGAAACTGGTCTATTTTTAGGCAAAAAGAACAGTATCCAGTACCTGCTGCCCACAGCCTTACTCAGTAGAGCAGATAATAAGCTCACTCCTGACTAGGGTGCTCCCAAGCCTATAAATGTCCATTTCTGTGCCTTTTCTGCCCCATTTCACTGCACTCATTTGTCAGATCTTCTTTCTGCACAGGACTGGGGAATCCCAGGGGATCTTAAAACATGAAGGTCCTCTTTCTCTTAGCTGTTCTCTTCTCTTTGGCGCAAAATAACTCAGGTAACTGTTTCCTGGGAAGCTTAGCAGGCTGTCCTCAGCCAGCAGAAGGCAAAGGGGAGAGAACTGGGAAGGCAGTGCAGGAATCCCGTTAACGTGTATGTTTGTGTTTGGGTTGTGTCTGTGGGGGTGGTGTTTGTGTGTGTGGTATCTCTTTTTGTGTCTGAGTTTGTGTGTGTCTATGAGTCGGGGATGTGTTTGTGTATTGTTGATGGATATAGATGGGTCACTCTGGGACTTAACTCTGGGTCATGTTGATCTTATTTATGAATAAAGATGTATATATGTGTGTGTGATGTATATACATGTGTGTGCATGTATATATTTATAAAGTTAAATATGGGTTATAGGGTCAAAACACAGGAAAAGGGGGCCTTTTTCCACTGATACAAATAGGAAACTCCAGTCATATTGATGTCAGATTTAGAAGGAACAAGAGATCTCCTCCTGCAGCTCCCACAGCCACTGCTCCCTCCCTACCCCAACTCTACAGAGAGGAACCTGAGGTCCCAAGAAATGATGAAGTTTCCTGCTGTGCAATTCATAGCTAGGAGAATGATAGCTATTCACTTAACAGGCCTACTTTATAATCAAGAAAACGTAGGCATGACCTGATAAACGAATTGTCCCATATGAGATAATTAATTACTTGCAGAAGACAGACTAGAACTCAAACCTCCAGGCTTCTAAATTTGTGGTTGTCCCCCACACCTCACTTCTTTATAGCCTTAAAGCCTACCTCTTCACTTCCTCCTCCCCGAAAGTCCAGACAAAATGAGAGGGGGTTATCTTCCAGAGCTGGGAAATTGTCCAGGGTAATTTCATCAATCATACAAAACTAGCATTGTATTTCTGTTTTTTGTCATGAGAGGTGGCATTTGAAAACCTGAAATGAAACCTTTCTTTGAATTCTCATATTCCCAGGTGGAAAACACTTTTATTATGGGCACTCATTCAAGTGGTTATATTTCATTGACAAGCCACATACCGTTGTAAGAAGGGTGGCTTTATTTTCTCCTCTTGTTACAGAATATAAACCTAAAAATTGGGGCACAAACAGAGCCAAATTTATTTGTAAATTTCCTATAGACCAAGATTTCCTCATCCATCATTTCATTCGATCTCCTGAATGACTTTGGCTTTTTTCCAGTTGCACTCCTACTAGCAGGACGGCTTGAGACCACTGACATCATGGCCATGGTCTACCATAGGTCATATGTGTCTCTTACACAATGTTATTTGTGATGCATGTTACTTCCAGCAAGATTTTAAGATATAGGTTATTGTCAATTATTGATAAATTAGTAGTAGGCTAATATATTGATCAATTAATAATAGAATATTATAGAGATTTAAGGACCTGACATCAGTTAGGTTGGAACTCATCCAAAGACACTCATAAATGTGCTTGGGGGTAGAGTGATGACTGGACCCATCCATCATTGTCTGGACTAGGTGAATTAAGTATGGGATTTATTCTATTATATCCACAGGGGATATGCCTCCTGGAATTAGGAACACCATCTGCCTTTTGCAGCATGGGACCTGCAGACTTTTTTTCTGTCGTCCTGGTGAGAAAAAGGGTGAAATCTGCTCTGATCCCTGGAATCGGTGCTGCACATTTGAAGAAGAGAACAGTGGAAAAACAGAGACGACTGAGCAGTCTGATGGGAATAAAAATGTGAGCTTCTGAAAGGTCGGGATCTAGAAGTATCCAATTGTTTAGAAGAATGTGTTGTACCCGTTGTTTAACAAATATTGTTGAATGCATTTTGTACCAAAGTGAAGTTCTGATTTTAAAAAATCCTCGTACAATACTTCTTAAGATGATTGAAATATTGAATTGTACACTTTGTAAATTATATGCCAATAAAACTGTTTTATAATCTCCCAAAATGCTCTTCTAGCATTGATTTTTTGGGTTGTTTTTGAAGAGCCTCAGAATCTTGTAATATTTCACCTCCTTTCCTTATTTCAGGGAATAACCCTTACATATAATATACACAGATGGGGAGAGACTGATAGACTAGAGACCAAGCCCCAAACTTACCAGAGCAGTGGTTCTCAACCTTCCTAATGCCGCGACTCTTTAATTCAATTCCTCATGTTGTGGTGACACCCCCCCCAACCATAAACTTATTTTCATTGCTACTTCATCACTGTAATCTTGCTACTGTTATAAATCAGGTGACCCCTGTGAAAGGGTCCTTTGGTCCCCAAGGGGGTTATGACCCAAAGGTTGAGAACTGCTGTACTTTAGAAAGACAGATATTCAGACAATCTACTGGTATCCTTTCAACCTAATGACATCTTTCTTGTCCTCAACTCCAATAGATGTTCATTGCTGTCCTGTCAGCTCCAGCTCAGAACTTCACAGACCTGCCTCACAAGGTTTCCAAGGCTGTGATCCTCACTGAAGCAGACCAGCTGGTGGTTTCAAACCACGGACCTTTTGGTTCATAGCCGAATACTTTAACTGTTGCACCACCGCAACTCCTTGTTTCAAGATCTGCCTCCTCTTCTTCATTTGTTTTGCTGTGTGCTGGTGAATCAATTCTGTGACAGAGAAGAACTGCCCCATAGGGTTTTCTAGGCTGTAATCTTGATGGAGCTCTAGTGGTGTGGTTGTGATGCATTGGTGTGCAATCTGCGTGGTAGGCAGTTCAAACCCACCAGCAGCTCCATAGGAGACAGAATGGGCTTCCTACTCCTGTAAACAGTTAGGGTCTCATAGTGGGTCATGATGAGTCAGCATTGACTCAATAGCAATGAGTTTGTTTTGTGTGTGTGTTATTTTAGAAGTCATCTTTATGAGGAATACTACCTGGGTAGATTTGAATGGCCAGTTTTCTGGCTAGAAGCTAGCATTTAACTCATTTTCCCAAACCATAACAAGGTTTGACTTCTCTCCATGACTTTCCCTCTCCCCTCCCCAGTAACAACAACAATCAATGACATTGAAATAGAAGTTTGTTTCCTAGTGCTTACTTTCTTTCTGTTATGTGATTAGCACAATGATCATACACAGTATGTGGTTGGGCGTGCTTATTTTAGGACTCGAAGGGTTAAGCAAAATGTCCCTGATCCACACTTTCTACAGGGAATCTTATGGGCTAGTCTAGTTATCCCAGTGCTTATTCTTCATATGTTGCTTCTCACTGTATCGCTGAACAAGCAAAGCTAAAGATCTGGTTTATAAAGACTCCCTAACATTTACAAGTCTTCATACTTTCTCTTTATGGATCTTGCTCAAAACAGGTTGTCTAGGCCATGCCTTTGTTTGAGTCAGTTATCTAAGAGTAAACCAAACCCCAATGCCCTTCCGTTGATTCTGACGCAAACAGGCCCTACAGAGCATTTTCAAGGCTCTGAATCTTAATGGGAGCAGATGGCCTCCTCTTCCTTCCACTCTGAGGAATAGGGACTATTTTATTCCAGGTAAGAAATGTAAAAAATAACAGAGGCAAATATGTAGCTGCATAAGAGACCAAGTGCAAAATATTTTCCAGAATAGTAGATAACTTGATTAGATGCTACAAGACCCTAGAAGACAGAGAAGAACTGCTTAGTAAGATTTCCAAAGCTGTACATTTTTATTGAAGCAAACTGCCCTATCTTTCTCCTTCAGGCAGCTGGTGTTAACAGCCAAAAACATAACTGCTGTACCATTGGGGCTCCTTGCATAGAGGATTTCCAAACCCAAACCCCAAAACTGAACTCACTTCCATCCAGTGGATTGCAACTTATGTCTATCGACCCTACAGGACAAAATGGAACTGCCCCTGTGGGTTTCCAAGTCTGTTAAGTAGCCCAAAGGATGACCCTCTATGCCACTAGAGCTCCGTGCAGAATGGTAGCCTCTCAGAACCACTGGTTTCCTCTCATCCTCTTGGCAGGGTGAGAATCTATTCCATAGTTAGTGTGCAGGCCTCTTTGAGAAGGGGTTTATACCAGGGTGAGTGAAGCGCAATAAACTTCCATGCTTCAGACTCGCAAAACTCTCTGCCATCAAGACAATTCTGGATCGCAGTGACCGGACAGGACAGGGTAGAACTTCCCTGTGGGACTCTGAGACTGGAAATCTTTATGGGAGTTGAGCTACTCCATGGATCTATTCACCAGAGAAATGAAATAGAATACTGGGGAGTCAGAGTCTGGTTCTACCTACACCACTGAGTTTGTGGTGTTAGTGAGTCATCCTCTTCTTCAGGCTTATTTTCACCGTCAGGCAAGCAGTGAGGGCACAGTCCATGACCTTCCTCCACGGCAGTCTCAGGACAGCCTGGTAGGAAAGCTGCAGCAGAGACAGGGGTATTGGCAGAAATCCCTGAGCTGTACCATGGAAGTTTCTCTGTCACAGAAACTAGAACTGGACTTCGCTTCAGGGTGGAAAATATCATCTTTCTTTAATATGATATATATATATATTTGAATGGAATATCTAAATACCTCAGTCAAGCATATTAGAAAAGAAGCACTAATCATGGTCCACACGCACACACGCACACGCACACACACACACACAAACTTCATGAATGTTTTCTGAGGCTTCATAAGGCTAATATGAAATGAAGGTAAGGAAAACCAGGGAAGGTGAGGCAAGAGAAGTAGATCATTAGGATGTTTTCAACGGACAACATTCATCAGATCCTTGTTAGAGTCTCTATAAAGTTCCATCTGGCTACTGTGGGTGAAGGAGGAAGAGTGTTTGTTTAGGGGCATTGAGTTTATTGTAATGATGGTGGAACAATTTGGAGAGAGATGTCAATAGTGGTTGTAGGACGTGAAAAGTATAATTAATGGCACTGAAATATACATTTAGAGGTTGTTGAATTGGAGAAGGTTTTGTTGAGTATAGTTTTGCCACAATTAAAATAATAATTACACAAATAGCAAGTATGAGGAAGAAGAAAGAAAATGTTCTAAAATACTCTGTGGTACTGATGGTACAACTCTTCTTGATATGATTGAACTATTGAATTGTCTGATATGTGGATGAAGTGCCAATAAACGAAATAATAATAATAATAAATAATAATAATAAAAGTCCCAGTGTGAGGCAATGGAGTGAATTACAGTGGGCCAGCACAGAGACCTTAGGGGAGGTTGGGCAAGTTGCCCAGCTCCACAGCCCCCATCTATAAATATGCTTGATTTAAACAGACCATCTTCATGATTGTCCATCTACATGGGAGTCCCTGGTTGGTACACATGGTTAAGTGCCGGGCTAGTAAGTGGGAGTGGTAGTGGGTCAAGCCCACAGGGGGCATCTTGGTAGATCTACTTCCCAAATGCCACAGCCACAAAAGTCTTATGGGTCACAATTCTACTCTGAGAACCTATGGGGTTGCCATGACCTATTGCTTAGCAGCTGGTTTTATGGTCCCAAGATGGTGGAAGGCCCCAAAATATTATTATTTTTATTTTTTTAAGGTAGAAACTACCTTGGCAAGGCAGGCAGTAGGTCAATACTGACACATACCACTAGAGGATGAACTGCCACCTCAGAAGCCTGAGGAACTCAGATGCCTTGGAATTCAATGCTCTAGTGTTTCGAAACTACATTTGCAATTTCTGCACTAACAACGAGGTGACTTGTTAGTAAACAAGACATGAAACTTTGGGGGTTTGACTTATTTGACTAAGCAAAATGTGTCTATCACCAATTAGTGCTCTATGGTAGGCATGCACAATAGTTTATTTATTTACCTGTTAAGATAAATCTTAGTTATTGCAAGCTTTTGCTGATTTTGAAGGCAGTTACTATATACAATTGTTTTGTACAGGTTTTCTTGAAAAAAAGTTTTTAATTCACATACTTTGTAGCTGGTCCATTTGGCTTAGGAAAGTAGCAACCTCTGTAACTAAAAGGAGTTGCAAACAAAGAAAATATGAATTATCAATGTCTAGACTCCATTTCTTTCCATTATTTAGATTGCATTACTTACCCCTGCCCTGCACCCAGTTTCAATTCAATATAGGTTTGTGGAAACGAATTTGATTCAAACTGAATCTATCAGCATACTTACTAAGACAACACTATGCATCTCCTCTTCATTAGGGTCAGGACCAAGACCTGACGGCTCAGACAAAGCTATGAAGAATGAAAACAAGGCTTGCTTGCTCCTTGCCCTGCCTGTATTCCTGGAGTGGTGGCTCTACCCACTGCGCAGAGCTAAGCATGCTCTGTGGAGTACGAGGCTTGGTGTAGAATCCATGGGTTCTGACACTCCATCCGCCATGTAGTAGTTGTGTGATATTGGTCAAGGCCCATACTCCAGGCATTGCTCCCTTGGAGATTCATACAAGACTCTGATGAGATGCTGAGTGTGAATAAATAAAGCAGTAATTATGTCATTATGCCCTGCTCTAAGATTCCAGATATGTTTTTGATGGGGATGTACCTGTCATGCTCTTGCTCTTGGAAACTTCAGGCACACAGTCAAGGCACCTGGGATAGAGACTCGGGACTTTGGCAAACTTATTTTCTTGGCTAGACTGGTAGTCAGAGGGTGAACCCTTGCTTAGCCCAAAGATGCTTCTAGATGGAAATTGGTTGTAGTCTGAAGCTCACACAGAGGCAAGAAGACCAGGCTCCAACAGGGATCTAGTATGTTTGCAAATCTTTTATACTTTCCCCATAGATCCTTTTTTTTATCCTGAGATATGTATAGCCATCCTCACTGTACCTCT